CATTTCTCTAATTTCAAAAATAAACGAAATATGAGCATTTTTTGAAATCACGAAAATTTGACTTTTTGGCTATAACTTAAAAACAAAAGAAGATAGAGGTTTGGTGTTTGCGGGATTGGGTTAGTCTCGAAAAAAGAGATCGGGACATGGCACCTACTTTTTTCGTATCTCTTATAGTTTCTAAGATAGCCTATAATAACACCCAAATTTGCCCACCCTGTACAATACATTAACATTAATTGTAATTTTAGCAGAGAAAAACAATTAAGACATTTTCCGAACATTGTCTCTAGTGTGCCATAGAAAATGATAACAGTCATTAAATGTTATTTCAATGCCCGAAGCAGTTGTAAATGATACTTATAAGTTGTTTTTTTTTATTTTTTCCCATGGCACACTACAATATACCACAAGTGACTTAAAGAGAATGTTCGGAAACTATTTTAATGTTTTTCTCTGCTACAATTATAATTAAGTAATAACATTACGAAATACATGTCTTTAGTTATTTGAGTTTTTTATGAAAACAACAATGTTTTTTAAAAATAATAAGAGTAAAAAAAGTTTTAGAATTAAATTCCACATGAAATGAGGTAATAATGTATTAAATCAACCAAAAGGTTAAAAATTGGTCATAATTTGCTACCAATTAATACCCTCGGTACACTCATAATAACGTATACCAAATTTGTTTTTTCTAGCTTAATGTATTACGAAAATATTCAATATTTAAAAAATTTAAGATCCAACTTTGAAGACCTATAACTCCTCAAGGGTACAACTTAGTATAGAGATAAGTTGTGTTAAATCATCTTAATTTATTATCCTCTACATGTCCCTGCTCTGTCGGTTCTTATGTGAATCACCCTGTATGTTAAACATAATCAGTATTGAGTATGGGTAGGACACATAGAAATGTCCTCAAAATAAAATATGTCCTTGATTAACAGGCTAATTAGATTTTACAGAATAGGTAATTATGCCTCCAAATCCATAATCACTTTGAATAATAATGTCATCTATTCAGCAAAATTCGTACTGCCAATTGCACATAAAATATATAGTTGTTTCAATGCTAATAATCCCTACCTCATTCCTTAAGTAAATATAATGGTAATATAATGCAACTTAAGTTAGTCAAGTTAATCAATATTTATATTATTACAAGGATACTTATAAATAAAAGTAATAATAAAACAAACTTTTTTTACATACCTTAGCATCAACACCAACAATCATATTTTTTAACTCCACGATTTTATCATTAATACTGGTCCTGTATTTCCTCTCAATAGCATTATGAGCACTTCTCTTCACCTCTTTTACTTTTGGTTCTTTAACCTGTTGTTGAGGAGTTGCAATTCGATTAATAGCAACTTTATTCTCCGAATCAATAACAACCGGGATTCCAGCGGCCAATATTTGTCCCCCATTAACCAAAGTATGTAATTGAGATTGATTATTTTGTGTATTCGATGTAGTAACAGTCGTTAAAGGGGCTGTTGTATACATAAATGTTGTTTGTTGAGTTGATGGTTGGTCAGATTTAAGAACTTTGGTTTGAAGTAATAATTGTTGGAGTTGATTGGGAGGGATTTGGCTAATATTTTGGACAACAACGTGTTGTTGCTGTTGTTGTTGTTGAGTTTTTGGGATTTTTTGAGGTGGTGAAGTTATTTGAACAGGATTAGATTGAACAATTATTTGTTGTTGGGGTAAATTAGAACAAACCATTGATGGATGTTGATTCACGTTAGAAATCAACACGGTTTGTTGTGATGGTTGAATGTTAGCCACACGATTTTGATTCAGCTGCAACGGGGTTTGCCCTTGCAATTCATTCAATGTTAACCCGCTATTTCCATTGAATAACCGATCAACTTGCATCGAGTTATACACATTATGCTCTAACGGTGGCGATAAAGTTTGTGGATCCAAAGAAAGATCAAACGATAAATCATTCGCAGTTACCAAAGGATCTAATTGACTCAAAAACGTTTCATCCTCGAAGAGTTCCCCTTGCATTAAATCCTTTTCGCACGTCGATAAAATATCTGATGAAATATGTTTTAAAAATATGTAAACAAAAAAATTAAGGTTATATTTACCATCGATCCCGCTTAGTTCGTTTATATTGAAATCTTCGCCCGAATTGGCGAAATGGGGGTTGAAATCTGCCATTAGTGATTTATTTTAAGGAAATTTATACATTTCTTAGTGTTGAATTAAAATCGTCGCAGCAGATCAGCACATTTGTCATCGACGAATCACGAAACGAGTTAGAATCTGATGATTTGACGTCACAAAATTAGAGAGACATCTATGAGTTAATCCTGAAAGATTGAACTTATCAAGTTGGTTATTAGATGGCGCTTTTATTACAAGTTTAATTTGACTTTTAAAATGTAATTTTTTGTAATTTGCGACGGTAATGTAAGCTATAACAGCACTCAAACGGGTGGTGTAATGAGACTCCTTACAGCATCGGATGCTGTAATGAGATTTTAATAACATTTTATGGAACCAGTTCAAGTTGGTGACATTGGGTCATTAATTTTTTTAGTTGTCAATGTGACAATTTTTGTCTATGGATGTTTAAGCACGTTCTTAGTATCGAATACAAGGTCCACAATGATGAGGACATTGAACTCTGAGAAATTTCTCTTATTTTGGGAGATGTACATCAAACATTTTTTGCAGGTAAATATATTTTGTGTTTTGACAGTTTCTAATTATCAATTCAAAGTTTCTATTTTCAAGTGTTACCAACTGCGGCATACCTATTTCTCTACAATGTCAAAATTTATTTTATTTTTGTTGAAAAAAAAAGGATAAAAACGCGAATTACAAAGAATAGCATAAAAAGCACGTTTCATAAGACTTAAAGCACTCATTCATTAAAAAACTCGTGGCTTCGCCACTCGTTTTTAAACTTGAATTCGTGCATTTCAAGCATGTCTTATGAAACTTGGTTTTTAATATACTATTTTGGGTTTTTAACCTAAAACTTACACGAAGTGTTCAAAATTTATGAGATGCACAGCTAAATCCTCATGTTTTCAGTTGTAGGTCTAGTATTAATTCTAGTTTTAGTGGAATAAAAAGATACAACAACCTGACTCTGACTAACAACTAAAACTAGAGCTAACACTAGCACCAGAATTAGCACTAGACCGTTAAACATTAGCCATTCAGAGCTTCTATAAATCCACATGTAGGTTAGTGTACAGTACGATTGTCGATACGTTTTTAGTGAACTTGGTTAACTTAGAAAAAAGTGGTAAAAAGTGTACAAAGGCATTGGAAAAAGAGTAAGTAAATTTTAATAGAATATACTCCTGTTATAAGTTATAACATAACACATCCACTTATAATGAAACCGAAATCTTGTAATTGAAGTTGAAATCAATTCGATTATCTCTATGCGCAACGACGTTGTTCCTACCCACCGGGGAATCACAAAAATACTCGTTTTTAGAAACATGCGACATAAGCTTTGTTCGTTGGGACTGCACTACTCTGCACGACATGGCACTAGTATGACGTTATAGTGCAATTAAGTGTAAGTAAGTGCAATGTCTTGTCAATTGAGTGCAGGGTAAAGGGGCCTATCCACGGTCATGCATGCTGTTCATGCCGTTTCTTACTTTCTCCATACACTATCATGCAAGCTTGCCATTCATTCATTTAATCCGTATCCTCGAAGGTGGTAAGTACTGATTATCGGTAAATCGACGAGTTAACTCGTAAAAAGAGACGACATAGGTATTGGTCGAAGCGTTGGTTTCTACAACGTCAAAAATTTTCGCATATCAAACTTTTAAAAGAATTTAAAGTTTCTTCGACAGAAGGTTATAACAATTTCTTAAGAATGGATCTTGAATTATTTGACGATTTGCTGCACAAGGTCAAGCCTTTCATTGAAAAACAAAATACACAGATGAGAGATTCTATTTCACCACATCTTCGGCTTTCTATCACGCTGAGATTGCCAGTGGCCAGTGGTGCAACATATGAAGATTTAAAATTTTTGACGGCGATAGCTCCGCAAACAATAGGAAAAATTGTAATTGAAACATGCGAAGCGATTATTAGTACATTGAAGGAATATATAAAGGTACGTAAACAATTATTATCGTTAAAATTATTATCGTTTATTCATTATAACATCTTAATGATATTGAGTATCGCTTAATAAAGACGATATATCTGTATAACATGGTGTCTGCATTGGTTCATACATATACGACGTAGTGGTTGAACTTGAGTCGTACGATGATGGGCTCACGAAAGGCAATGGTGTCGTTGATGGGGTAGGCGAAGGACCTAGTTTTGAAAGGCGACCATGATACAGAATGTCATCAATATGCTTCTTGGCATACAGTTGCTGATCAACGGAAAGTTTTCTGTATTGCGATGCCCAAACTTTACCGAGCATTTCTGCCTCATCACTTACTGTGTCAAAATGTTTAACTGCCTTTTTCAGAAATTCATTTCTTCCATTAGACAACTTTTGTTTTTTTGGACGTGAAGCACTTGTGTTGATTCGGCTTCTAATGAATCTTCTGGTGCCTAAAAACACCATTTTAAAATTACTTTCATATACTAAAAGATACAATTTTAAAAGTAAATTTAAATATACTTTGCAATTTCTAGATGCCAAGAAATAAAGACTTATAAGAAATCGTTCAGTTCGAAAGCTTGAAAATAACATGCTTGGTTGCAATACATAATTTTGTGATATTACGAAATACTACGAAATAACCATTTGGTTCGTTTCTTTGTTTAGTTTCATTCAATTTAATTATAATTAAAAAAAAAAGTAAATAAATTAAGTTTCAATTGATAAATATGTATTTAAATGGTGATTTTTTTAATAAACAATATCTAATCATAATGAACCGATTTTCATATCCTTTGAAGTTTTGTTATAACCGGAGTACATTGCACTTCTATTTTGTAATTTTAACATTAAAGTTTACGGGGTTTTAGGTACTAAAGATGGCGCAGGCGAAAAAAAAATTTTCGACAATATTCTGAAGAATATATCTCGCTTGGTTTTATTGCGTTACCGGAAAACGCAACATTACCGTGGTGTCTTATTTGTGAAAAAGTTTTCACTAACGATGCAATGAAACCAGCAAAAATGAGAGATCATGTAATAAGAATGCATGCAGAAAAAAGAAAATAATTTGAAATATTTTAAAAACCTTAAAAGACATACAACATCAAAGAATAATGAGGGAGGACTTGAAGCTTCATATAGCATATTTAATTACCTTCAAACAGTTGGTGAAAAGTTATTATTACCAGCAGTTCGAGAAGTAATAACTACCGTAATGAAAATGAATCCTGACCCAATTTTGCAAAGTATTCCACTTAACAACAATACTGTTGTTCAACGTCGGCGTCGTATCGATGAAATGGCAGAAAATATTCAACAACAAATAATGCCTGAGTTAAGGGTTAGTGAAATTGCTGTACAGCTGGATGAATCAACTTTTGGAAAAAATTGTGTTTTAATGACTTATGTGCAGTAACGTTAAAGAAGAAGTGATAGAGGAGTTTCTTTGCGCAAAATCTCTTGAAACATACACAAAAGGAGAAGACATTTTTATTTGTTTCCAAGATGTTTTCCAGAAGTACGACATTCCTCTGGCAAATATAACTGCAGTTTCTGGTTCATGGTTGGAAGATATCGTGGTTTTTTAGCGTACGTCAAAAATGAAGTACCTAACTGTACCTAACCTACTTTTTGCCCAACTGTGTGATAACAATAATGAAACTTTTAATAATTTACTTCTTCATACGGAAGTACGCTGGCTGTCTAAGGAAAACTGTTTGCAGCATTTTATAGAGATTTTTAATACCGTCGTGGAGTTTTTGTTTGATGTTGACAATGAAATGGCGACACAATTACTCCAAGTAAAAAAACACATTTTCTATTTGGCTAATATTTATTCATTATTCAACACCACACAAAATGAAACTGCAAAGAAGAGACGTTAACCTTATTGAAGCCAGAACGGTGATCTTTGGGTTTCGTTCTAAGATTGACTTGTTTATATCGATATTAAACCGGAAAGAATTTCGATACTTTAACAATCTGAAGGTATTGTCCACCATTGAGAAAGATTGCATTTTAGCGGAAGATATAACGTTATACAGGTTGTCCGGAAACTCAACATCAAGCGAGCACCGGGTGAGAGGCCACCCATACCTGTTCTGGTAAAAATTAGAAAAAAATTCCATAACTACAAAGATATAATTAAACACCACGTTTAGGCGCCTGATAATCCAGGGTTCCCTTCCATCGTACAAGTGAGCAGAACCAAAACTGAAGAGTAAACTTTTTTTAGATTTTATGTTTAGTATTAAGAAGAGAACATCGCCAAGTGAACTCTTGATCCGGATTTTATCCGTTATTAATCATGCATCCAAGTATCTAAATTATCTGACCTGTTCGATGATCTCCATCAACATGTATTCGAGTGGTTGGAGTATCATTCCTACTAACTACCATAATTTCGGGCTTGCTGATGTTAATTTTCAAACCTCGTTTTTGGCTTTTTTCGTTAACCCGGTTTAGTAGGTTTTGCAGATCATGTGCACTATCCGGTAATATCACGGTGCGGACTTCGAGATTAACTCGGAGAATGCTCTTTCTACGTACAGGTTGAACAGCATCGGGAACATTATACACCCTTGGCGGACGCCCTTTTTGATTTCAAAATCCTCAATTGTTTCGTCGAACTTCCGCGTTTTGGTGCCAATATAGATTACCGAATAGTCTTATATTCTTTGTATCCAGTCCCAGATTTTTAAGGTATGTTATCAGAAGATTGTGTTTAACGTTGTCAAATGCCTTCTCATAGTCGATAAAGCTCATAAAGACATCCTTTCTTTGATCTTCACAATTTTGCAACAGTGTCTGGAGCCTAACATGGCTTTTCTGGTCCACTTGCCTCCTCACATTTTTGATAAAGCCTTGTATGTAGAATTCGAAGGAATTAAACTAATGAGACGGTATTCTTTACACGTGGTTGCATTAATCAGTGTCCAGAGTCGTAGATGTTGAATAATCTTACAATCGTTTCATGAAGTGAAAGTTCTAGATCTAGCTAATGGTAATTCTAGTTTTGGTTGTTATACATCGCCAAGTTGTATATTTTGAACACTTGAATAGCAAAATTCGGTTAATAAATTTTAAATTTAATAGCTTCTAACTATCTCCACCTTTTGTCCAGCGAACATTTCTATTAGCAATTACGTACCCACAATTGTCATTTTAAACAGCTAGCCAACAAAAGAGGGCGCTAGTGGGAAATAAAAACTTAAATTGTGTGGATGTACTAAAAGATTAAGGTTTAATTTATGTTGAATGAAACAAAAATTATTACAACATACATTTTATCTATACTTAAAAACTATAATAATAAAGTACAAATATATTTTATTAATCACGAAACGAGTTAGGATATAATGATTTGAGGTCACAAAATTAGAGAGGTTGATCAAAAAAGATTTGTAAGGTAGTTTAGATGGTGCTTTTTATGAGCAAAATTTTTAAAATCAAATTTGGAAGTAATTGTTTTTGGGTTTTTAAGGATTAATTTATGTTGAATAAAACAAAAATAATTAAAATGTACATTTTATATTTACTTAAAAATAATAACGCATTACAAAGTGCAGTGCAAATATATTTCATTAATATATTTTAATAAATCTAAGAACTAACAGTAACATCTCTATATAATAAAACGTATAATGATTAAATTAAATTATTTATTAGTTAATAATAATAGTTTCTTTATAAAAAAAAGGGTAATGATAGGATATTTTAACATTGATATCTTCCCAAAGTTTTTTATTCTTTTAGAACTTTTAATATTATTAATAAGGCATTGTTTCATCGATTTATTTGTATGATATTGCGTTTATTTTTATATATAAAATAATAATCTGTTTTATATACATATTTTCATTAAATTTTTTGTTGCGTTCTTGTAAATAACTCGTCACTTCTTACATATGAGGTAGATAAGTAAAAAATAAAAATGATAATAATTATAATTATTATAATTAACGATTGCTTGTTGGTTAACACACACAATAAAAAATAAAACATACACAAACAACTACTAGAGAGTGTATGTTATTTTAGAGGTGATAAAAGAGATCTATGTTCGTGATGTTATTTAAAAATCGTTTTAAATACTTTGGGTAACGAATAATAATAATCAGTCTTAAATAAAATGGCAATAAGTTTATTTTTCGTATTAATTAACGTATTAGAATTAAAGAAATGATTAAATTTGAATTGATTTCTTTTGATTTTTATTCTCAAAATGGAATGTAATTATTTTATTTTTTTATAATCATTTTTTTTAATGATTTTTTTTTAATTCCAAGCAGAAAAAGGCACTCTTAGCGTGTCTTATTAAATAATAATAATTAACAAATATTCAGTCTTATTGTTGTAGTATATAATTATTCTTTTTTAATTTAACATCCTGTGGTTCATTGCACTTATTTATTTATTTTTTTTATGTTATAATTATGATTTATTGAGCTGCACAACAAATAAGAGTGACTAGACACATCAGTCTAAACGGAATTTTACTTATTTTTTTCTTATTTTATAATTACTATTTCAAAGAAAGTGTTAAGTAGTTTCATTTTTTTAATTCACTTATACATATAATAGTTTAGTGTGTATCATCCGTTTCATTTTTCGTTCGTACATTTCTCGTTCAGTCTAAGAGGAATCACAGCTATGGGAGAGTTTTTTTCTTTGAAAACAACGGCTTTTTCGAATTTAAACATTTTCTTTTATTTGATTCGGGTTTTGGTGCAAAAATACCACAAAAAATTTTAGAACAACAACAACAACTCCGGGGTGCTTACACAAAGACACTTGTGTGAAAAGTGAATGTGTTTTCTTATTTTTTTTTATTTTAAAACTTATATCTAAATAATGTAGAGTTAATTAATTTTCTTTCTAAAACCTAATTTTATATTTAATTTTAATCCCAAAACCAAAAATTACTACATTTTTTTTCCGTATTGAATTGAAATGTATTCTCTTTTACGTTCATTTTGGGGGTGTTAATGCCCAAAAATAAATTCTTTTTATGTACAAAAAACTTAAAAATTAAAAAAAAATTCTTAATATTTATCATTAAGACCTGAATGCGCACCGAAATTCAAAGGAAAACAACTCAAACAAAAATCTTGATCAGTCTCATTATGCAAAAAAAGAAAATTAAAAAAAAAACAAAACATAATAATAATTAGAATAAAAAGTTCTTTCTATGTACAATTCAGTCTTATAGGGTTTCGCACTCAAACGGAGCTGGTCCCACAAAAGTACGAATACAGGCACTATATACTCAGGTCATCATCTAATAATAATTAATTAATCTTCATTAATTACTATTTTTTAATTCTTTCGATATTCTTTTTAACAACATCTCTTAGTACGGTAAATTAAAAAACAAAAACCTTTTTTTTCATCATCCTTTCTATTATTGCACTTACAAAAAGATCCAATTAGACATTCTCGATAAGACACTGGTATCTTTTATAAACCATTTTTTATTCAGCGTCATCAACACTTACCTCTCTCCTAACATCTTCTTTAAATTCCTTCAAAACATCTTCTTTTTTGATAATCGTCGAAACTTGATTATTCATCGGTGGGACAATAACTTGTTTTCTACCAATACTCAAATCTTCCACTTCATCTTCGTCTTCGCGTTCCCTTTCCGAACTACCATTCGTTTCGCTATGATGATTATCGCTTCCCGGTGCTGGGGACGGCGTTAAACTATTCTGTCTCAAGTATTTAACCATAATCGGACTGGGACTTGGCGATCTCGCCCCGATTCCATGATTAGGCGGAGTGCTTTGTCCACTTGCTGCCGCTGCATGATGAGCTACAGCTGCAGCTGCCATCGCAGCCAAAGCATCTCTTTCTTCGTTCGGTCGACCATCTAAAGCGTGCTGCAGAAAACTACTTGCTTCCAATAACGAATTATGATTATGATGGTCGTCGCTTTCGTAAGGAGAATTCGTTCCACTTAAACCATAAGGAAAACACGCGCTACTTCCGTTTGAGCCTCGTTTAAATGGACGGCTGGTTGTAATCCCTAGTTTTTTGACTTTATCGTAGAGAGTTCGAGATGGTACGCCGTATTTTCGGGCGGCTTGAAGGGCGGACATTCCGTTTCTTACGGCTTCTATCGCGGACATTATATCGTTTCGAGTGTATTGTTTGTAACGTTTCCATTCGGGTTTTTGAGTTGGGACGTATGTTGCGATTCCAGAAGAAATACCGTGGATGTCCGTTGATGAATAGGATTGAGGGGATGTTGATGGGATAGCCATTTTCATTTTTTCTTCATCATTAGTTATTGATAAATCTGTGTAGGGGGATTGAGCGTCTTCACTTGGTTCATTTTTAATTATCTGGAAAAAGAAAAAAATTATAAGTTAGGTCTTATTATTTTAGTATTTAAGAAACTAAATCTTAGATAGCAAAACATTTGACATCTCTTATTGGCACTTGTTGCAACTAGCACAAACTCAATAAAGCCGAAAGATGCTAATTATTCTTGAGATATTTCGCGATGTTTTTATACAGGGTGATTAATGACCTCACGATAGTATTTACATGTATTTTGTAACTTCTGTTTGCAGATTAAATCTTTTGGAATAAAGGTTATTACTCCTAATGTACACGTGTGGATGACAAATCAATGTCCAAAATAGAAGTGTCCTACGTAAATAAAGATATTGAAGATTATGAACGTGCTAACAATGATGAAATTATTTACAAGGATGATGATGAGCTGAGTGGCGCATAATGTGTTTCTGAATCTGAAGAGGTAGATTCAGAAAAACTGACAAGGTCAGCTTTGCAATTCTTCTCATTTACCCTTTCACTGCAGCATTTAGTACAATGTGTTTTGGAGTTATTTTAAGATTAGTTTAGTAGTGCTACATTTATCCCATTCCATAGTTTCGAAATATTCTCGCATGATTTTAATATTCAATATTCTAACAGAACGCTTCCAAACCAACCACGAAGACCACAAGCTCTAACTAAATTTGTGAACGATATGTATACTACGACATAACTAAGACAAAATTTATGATATTTAGCCGCTAAGCACACGCCGATGCTTCCCTACAACAGGTTAACAAAACATTGAGAGAGTTGCCCAATTCAGATATCTTGGATGCTATATCACTGCACAACTAGATCCAGATAAAGAGATTAAGTGCAGAATTGAAACAGAGCATAAAAGAATATATCTAGTCGATGTTGTTGAATGGAGCTGAGATCTAGACTCTAAAGGCTGCCACGATCAATCTCCTGGAAGATCTCGAGATGTGATTGCATAAAAGAATGCTCCGAATACTATCAAGATTAACTATTAAGATAAGAAAGATATCATACCTAGGGCATAGTCTTAGAGGACGCAGATACAAAATCTTTCAGCTAGAAATGAAAGGAAACAAATGTAATGGCTAAAGAACATTCGTGATTGGACCGGAATACCCAGTGCCGAACAGCTATTTAGATTAGCCGAAGGACCGTGAACAACTCACCGATGTGAGTACCAACCTTAACGGAACCGAAAAAAGAAGAAGAAGATTTTAAATTCTTTGCTGAATCGTCGCTGAGTATGTAGTGCTGTTAAAAAGCGATCTCCTCTCGACATCACACAGAAGCAATTTTATTATGATTTTCAATTGGTTCAATAATTTTGACTGGTTGGAATTGGAATCTAATCTAACCGAACATAACCCAACCCAACCCAACGAAACCTTGCTATTGGCTAATATCATTTGCAACACTTTAACCGCTAGTGACCACGGGTTCACATAGGGCGAAAAGTCTATGATTTCGCCTGGTTATAGTAGAAATGTATTTTAATACATTTTTTCTGCAGACAAAATCCAAAATCTCTTTTCTGAGTTTAGCTGAAGTCACTTGCAGCCGAGACTCTGCAGTATGTGTTATCCAGTTTTGGATTCTTATAGTATTAATTGCAGATCTCAAGGTTAATTAGACAAAGTAGAGGTACTGTAATCTGCGTTATCCAATTTACTATCTAGTTGCCCTATAAAATTCTATGTCAAGCAGCAGTAAGACACCAGAATAAAAAAAAACGTGACGTGTTATAGAAAAATGGAAGGTATCAAGCATGGAGGATCAAACGTGTCGATGAAAATAATAACATAAACCTGTTACCGATATTAAAATGACCTTAAATATGATTTTTCGCTATCAAGATGATATACCATCAATGATACAGTTTCAAGCTAATAACATTAACGTTACAAACGTATGTTTCAAGTACTGCTTTACTACGCAGTAAAGATATGACACAAGTATATGACATATACTTGTGCGTAACGCTGGGAAACAAAATGAAACCAGGGGCTTCCACAGGGCTCAGTTCTTGCGAGAGTCACAAGGGCAAGAGAATTTATCTATGACGAAAATGTAGCGATCGCCGCTCAACATAAAAGCCTGAGAGCTATGAGGGCATACTTTTATAAATGGAGTCTAACACCTACCCTAAAAAAGATAGAGGTCAGCGCCTCCCAACTGAATAATAAAATAGCATCCATGAGACGCCAGGTCCGTTTTAATAACATAACGCTGCACCACCAAGATATCTCCAAATACTTAGGCGTCATCTTGAATAAAACACTCTCGTTGAAAAAACATCTAGAGAATACATTTGCGAAAATCCGAACTCACAATAACTCTACATGACTAACAAAAACTCTACATGGGGTGCCGCAACAACGACGCTGCGATGTTCTGCCGTGTCACTGATCCATTCTGCTGCAAAATATTGCGCACCGGTATGGATAAGCAATCCATATATTCAGGAAATCGACATACAACTGAACTCGACTATGAGAGAACAATATCAAGATGCCTAAAGTGTGACTTCCAACGCTAAGCAATATCGCCCCGCCAAACCTGCGAAGAAAGAATGGTCTTCTAAAAGAATTCAAGAAAATAATTGACAACCCACTACAGCCGATTCATGAGGACCTATCTTATCTTGATATGAATCGCATCAGATCTCAACACCCTCCATTAAATCTTGCTAAGGAACTGGCTAGAAACAACTACAACATCAACTATGAGTGGGAAAAGACTGGAGCACTAAAGCACCACCAAAAGGATTTGGATATCCTCACCACCTATATATGGAAGAGTCTAAACAGAGTACGTATGGGACATGGAGTCTCTGGTGATAGCCTCGTGCTGCCATCGTTTCAGTGTGACTGCGGAGCTCCAAAAGAATCTATCCGCCACATTGTGAGTGACTGACCTATTAGATCATATCCTAACACAAAATAAACCACAGGATGTCATTTGTGGTAGATTATTGTTATATTAGCAGTAGATTTCACGAGGGGGCGTTTTTGTGTGCCTTAAATTATATATTGCGTTAAAATGAAATTAGCGAAAATCTATTTGTCAAAACAGTAAAAAATATTTGAAATAATGTTTAATTTCAGAAATCGATACTAAAACATAATTTTTGCTCGTACATGTAAATAGTAGAGGGGAAAATAACTCATTTGCGAAATGGCTCCGCCCAACACTCTTTTCCCGACGATTTTATACATCAAATTGCAATTGACGTAAAGTTTGGCCTATTGTTATTTTATGTTTTTTTTTTTAATTTAACACGTTTATTTTAAAAACATTTTGAAAATCAATTCTTTTTATTGCTCTCTGGTCCTAATTATTAGTTAATACATCTTTCTGGCAATACAATTTTCTTACTGATCTAATAGCTAAAAGATGTACCATATTTGCTTCAACGCAGCTTCTAAACAGCTGAGTTGCCTGAGTTCTAATTTGTGATTGAGAAAAGTTGCACAACAAAAAACAAGAGCAATCATCTTAGTTATCTCTAATTATTAATTATATATTTTTAAATTACTTACTCTTTCATTTCTTTCTTCATTTAAACTATGTTGCGAATTTTCTTGTTCATGGCAAACCAAACTAACGGGTTGGGATGAATCGGCTAGTTGTTGTCCTTGGCCTAAAACCGTTCTTAATATGGGCGTATCTCTGTTCATCATCATACTAGAAAATTTCTTCCGTTTCATCGGTGGTAAATCGGGAGATTCGTATCCTAACATAGTAGCAGCTGGGTGTGGTGGATTTTGATGTTGAACCGGTGGTGGATGCGGCATGGGAAGTCCCGGAAGTGTCCAAATTGGCATTCCGATTCGATTTCTTTCCATGCTCGGCGCTTTTCCGTACAAGCTATACGGATTTTTCGCGTAATTTCCGTTCGTAGAATGCGGGGGAGAATTGTTATTGTTATTACTACTACTATGAACGGTCGAAGGAATCGAAGTCGTCGTTATTCCAGAATTCGGCGAATGATGATGATGGTCGTGACCGATATCATCGTCCATTCTTAAACTATTATTACTAGTAGCGGTTCTTCCATCGCGATTTTCCTCGACTAATCCTTTTACTTTCAAAGCTTCCGCTACTTTTAATAGGGCAGCGAGTTGATCTTGAGCCACGTTTACTTCTCCGCGATACATATACTCTAAAATCGCCTTAATTTCGATAAATTTAACGTCTTTAAGCACGACCACGGGATGTTTACAAGGCAAATCAGTAAATAAATTTTGAAAATACGGCGAACACGCCGCCAAAACCATCCTGTGGCACTTAATCGGGTTTCCACCATCGCAAACTAAAGTCACATCGGTAAAAGCTTCATTTTGAAGAAGTTCATCGAAAACACTTAGCAAATTCGATTGGTGATTATTCCAACGAAGACAAAATTGTTGGGTTACACTTCCCATTTTTCTTCAATCTAAATGTTTTTAAAGAAAAAAACACCGTTAAGAAAATTCGTTTAGTTGTATTCACTTTGATTTCATTCTTAAGACTGGTTTTTGAATCTTAATAGTTAGTAGTGAAAGGGTCCCGTTTGGGAACTGAGATTTTGATTGGTTAAAAAGATTCAACCCTAAAGGGTGGGTTGAATATTTTTAGTACCCTTTTATATCGCATAGTTTTTTTTTGAGATTCTTAAATGAGCTTTTAAAAGAATTTGCACAAATTAAATAAAAATATTTAAATAATGAGTTAATTAAAGCTTTGTCTTTTTGAATCATTTCTTGTTTACCTAAAAAGAAGTCAATAGACAAACAATTCTTTGATAAACCCCGAAAATGCGTCGCCACAATAACGTCGTTTTGTCAATGAATGAGATAACAAGATGAAATTTATTTGTTAGCTTCTAGAACGATTACCAAATTGGATTATTTGGGTTGTTGGCGATGATTCGAGAAATAAATTAACACAAAAAGAATTTATTTTAATTGAATCAATAACAAAAATATTTAAAAATCATCGTTTTTATTAAATATTATTTAAATTATGAATTTAAAAATTTGTTTTCTATTTTTATATGACATTGATAGTTTGCAATGACTACTTTCAAAAAATTTGTCTACAAAACTACTTTTAATTACTGGAAAATCCAGTTTAAATGCGTTTTGTTGTTATCGCAAATAAGTTTAAAGATGTAATTTATTTTTTTAACACTTAAAAAAACACCCGACCGAGAATATTTGAATTAAAATAAAAAAATTACTTACAAAAATTTTTCAAGTTGGACCCAATTTTCAGTTTTCGATTTGATTTCACAAAAAAAATTGTTTTTGCAAAAATTTTTCGAATTTTTTTTAATTTAAATTAAATTTTGCACAAGCACAACAAACTGTGCAAATTATTTCTTTATCGCACATTCGAACTTGAGGACCGTCGAAGATCGTAATGAACTACTTGGACTTTTTTTTGGTTACGTGTCTATATCTATCGGGTGTTGTGTAGTTCTTTGCACACGCACGCACACACAACTTTTCGTCAAAACGCCGCCGCTTATTCTGAAAAACTTGCGCGCGGGGCTTATCGAAAAGCCCCGGCCTTTTTAGTGGGGGTTCGAGGGGGCCGCGCTCGCTCTCTTCTCTCACGCAACAAGCGGGGGTGCAAACCGACTTTGGCCCGGAATATTATGGTGGGGGACGACGTCGAAACTACACCACCACCACCACTACTCCACGTTTCGGGGTAAGGTGTTTTCTCTAGGCTAGATTGCAACTATACACAAACCTCGTCTTTGGTGTGTATTTCTAGACTGAGAGCATGCTTATTTTCTGATGTTGATGCTGGTTTACTTTTAAATCTTTTAATCCGAACTTTTAGTCACCCCAACAAGATTTAAGTTTTTTAAAATTTCAATAAGTTCTTTGATAATAAAAAATTTTCAAATTGATGATAATTTTTGAATATTTAATTAATTACAATAATTTTTTATTTTAACTCTTTTCTTGGATGTTGCGGAGAAAAGCTTTTCTGAATTTCTGTATAAGCTTTTAATATAAATATCATTTTAAATTCATAGAATAAACGATAAGTACTTGCTAATGAGGTTAGCTTTTGAATAAACATTTTAATTGAGATTTTTTTTTTGAATTTTAATATTTTTCTTATAACGACAATAAACTTTTTGTAATCTAATTATTTTTGAGTATTTCAAAGACTAATTTATTTGCGAAAAACTGCAACATCATTTATAACAACTTTTTAGTTTTTATTAACTTCTTATTTTATAAATTAAATGAAGCTCATAACATTTAAGCAATATTAATATATTTGCTAAAAAATGCTGTTGAGTAAATAAGAGAAGAGGGATTTTTTGCACGATATATAATGTTAATGTAGTTTCTGAAGGAAGCCTTGAGCGAGGAAAAGCATTAATTGCTCTCCTATATTAATAATTTTCAAGTATATTCAAGAGAAATGTCTACATTTAATGCTACGCAAAAAAAATATTTATTTGGTGTTCATAAATAAAAGTCCCTTGGAAGGCTATACTTAAACTAGCATATTTAATCAATGCAGCATTCAAATTCAGATATATTCCCAAATTATATCCCTTATGAAGTAACGTCATGCAGGCCGTACCCAAGGATTATAATAATTTTAAAAAACTCAACCCAAGGGATTAATTCTAAATCACCAATTTGGTTTTAGACACAATTAACCAGATACACGGAATAACAAAAGTAATAGAAAGAACATTAGAAGAAAAAATGGTGTGTTCTACAATATTTTTAGATGTAGCACAATCATTTGATAAGATGTGGTTCGAAGGTTTAATTTACAAACTCTACTAAAACAATTTTCTTATATCTTTTCAATATTAATATTATATCTTTTATTAAAGCTAGTATACCGCAGGGAAGTGGGTCGAGTCCAATCCTGTACCTCTTATATAAGTAGGTATACCCATCTGTATCTGTTCACTATTGTAGTTTGACAGTCGCTTCTTCATTGTTTCTTCCTACTGCTGTAAAGCTGTGTGATCAGAAAATTGGCAATAGTATTGTTTTCTACTTGGGATATATCGCACTTATATAAGAGTTATATAAGAAAGCACAAGACAGGAGCTCAGAATAAGATATAGAAACATGTATTACACATACCTGGTTTTACTCTAAATAAGGAGCTTGAGGAGGTGGCAACACGCAATTATGTTATACACCTCTTGTTAAAGAGAAATTAGATTTGCTCGAAACATAAACACGCCGACAGGTTGGCTAAAAATGTTGCTCCGAGAAGATCCAACAATTTCCTCGTCTCTAGATCTTATACCGTGATCATCGAAAATCTAACCCATTACAAATTTTTAAATCGGTGGAATAGAGCATAGTTCGCTGAAAAAGAAGTAGCATGAACGCTCTTTTTCAGTTCTTCACTCGGCAATCGTAGTAATTGTTATGCAACAGTTAAAAAAATAACTGGTGTCTATAGAAGAGAGAACGCGAAATGGTGATTTTTGGACTATGTCAGTACAGTAGCAAAAATTCTGCTTGTTTACTGCTTCAGAATGATATCTACTTCGAACCTTGCCCACAGAATTTCGTTTAATTATCGCTACATCTTACCAAATCTGATACCTAATATTTTCAATTTGGTAACACCTACAATTATATTAATAATTTATATTTGAAACCTAATACTGCATCACATCTGATAAAAAAATGAATAAATACTGCAAATTGCTGAAAATAGTTTTCAATTACAGTCATTATTCATTTTTACTGGCCCGATTCGATTTTGATAACAATAATCAACACATCTCAATGATTCCCAGTGCTTTCTAATATTCCTAACTAATTCCACAAGAGATTCATATCTTTCATTGACACCAAATAGCTCAAAACATATAGCAAGGGCTTCGAATTGCTGCCAATGTCATTCGTTTTTTACTTGCTCCTAGTTACTTCCAATAATTTGCAATGTCTCTAAGTAATAATGTCGTTTCAACAGTAAAAATTTTATAATCCAATTACTTTTGGGTATTTCAAAGAGCTTAAAACCTCTTTATTGGGAATCCCATACACGACAATAATTTATTTGCGAAAAAACAGCAACGTCATTTATAGCAACTTTTTAGTTTTTATTAACTTCTTATTTTATAAATTAAATGAAGCTCACAACATTCATGCAATATTAATATATTTGTTAAAAAATCCTATTGAGTAAATAAGAGAAGAGGGACTTTTTGCACGATATATAATGTTAATGGAGTTTCTGAAAGAAGCGTTGAGCGAGGGGAAGCATTATTTACTCTCCTATATTAATAATGTTAATATGTTTCAAGGATTATAATAATTTTAAAAACCCAACCCAAGGGTTTAATTCTAAATCACCAATTTGGTTCTAGACACAATCTACAATTAACCAGATACACGGAATAACAAAAGTAATAGAAAGAACATTAGAAGAAAAAATGGTGTGTTCTACAATATTTTTAGATGTAACGCAATCATTTGATAAGGTGTGGTTCCAAGGTTTAATTTATAAACTTTACTAAAACAATTTTCTGAAATATTAAAATACGTCCCAGACAGAAAATCAAAACTTATTAAAGCTAGTATGCCCCAGGGAAGTGTGCCTAGTCCGATCCTGTACCTCTTATATAAGGGTGATATATCCCAAGTAGAAAACAATACTATTGCAAATTTTCTGATCACACAGCTTTACAGCAGTTAAACTATAAACTGCAGTCAACAGATACAGATAGGTATAACACATGATACAAAGCTCCGCTGGAAAGCACGGAAAGCAAGAAATGACAGAAGCTCGGAATAAGATATAGAAACACGTACTGACTGAACTCGTATGGACATATTGTATCTAGATATGAGGCTGTATAAGACAAAGTAGCATAGCAATAATTCAAAGATTTCAAAATAAAATCCTAAGAAACATCGTTGATGCAGCTTGGTACTTTATGAACAGGTACCTCTATAGGGACCTGGAATTGGAAATTATAAACCAAAGTATAAGGAAATTTGAGTCACGAAGAAAGGCTATATCGTTATGTTAGCATCGCGGCCATCTTCCTGCTCAATAATACTAAAAAAGAAAGAAGACTCAAGAGAAAAAAATCTTTTGAATTAGTGTAGTTACTCTTAGTGGTATTATAAAGTACACGATGTAAAAAAGCAGAGCTTGTGCGTATACATAATAAGGGTAGTTAAAGGTACTTCAAATGCCTAAGGAACGCTAATCACTATCCCTTAGTTGTTATCGGATTGTAATACGCACAATTAATAAAAATAAATAAAAGTATATCATTACAACAGCACTCAAGATAAATGTGAGCTGGTATGACAGAACAAATACAGGGTGTTTATATAAGTCGTGGCATAATTTTAATCACAAACTAGAGTGAAAATGATGATTCGTGTACAAATTTTTGATCTAAACCCATAAATGGCTAAGATATGATAAGAC